AGACCTAGAGCCCATAACAATGCACCCAAGTCTTACTGGAGGCCAAGAGCCCATGACTATATCTCATGCAGGCCTGTTTCAAGGATCTGCACTGGGAAGGACCAGAGGTCAGTGGTGGAAACTAGAAAGTCTGTGCCAGCGAGATAAAGGATCTGTGCCAGCAGGCTGAGGAATTTGCACTGGAGCCAGGAAGCAACCCTCAAAGTAAGGACCAAAGTTCCCCTGAAGGGTGCCACAGCCATCCTCAATGACAAGGTCCAGAGCTCCTCCAGTGATATCAGCTGAGTCCTTACCAGAAAAGCCAGCACAACAAGCTTCTCCAGGCCATTGGACAGTGCCCCATCTTCTCCAGAGCCAGGAAGTGATGCTCAAAGTAAGGACCAGAGCTTTCCTAAAGTGAACTGTAGCCATTTTCAGTGACAAGGTCCCAGGCTTCTCTGATGATAACAGCTGAGATCATATCAGGAAAGCCAGGATGACAAGGTCTGCTAATAGACCATGTAAATGTATCAAAATAGTATGTATACAGGTACAGATTCCCTATGACATGTGTGATCATTATATATATCAGAAGTGTACCAATAAAATTAATTTTAAAAAACAGTATATAAAGCCAGGTGTGGTGGTGCACACCTGTAATCCCAGCACTCAAGAGACTGAGGCAGGAGGATCATTGTGAGTTCGAGACCAGCCTGGGCTACAAAGTGAGCTCAAGGCCAGCCTGAACTGCATAGCGAGACCCTGTCTCAAAAAGACCAAAAAACAAAAACCAGTATATAACCTTATTCATAATCACAGTAAATACAAATGGATTAAATATTCCAATTAAAAGGCAGTGATTGACAAATGGATGGATGGATGGATGGATGGATGGATTTATTTATTTATTTATTTATTTATTTATTTATTTGGAGACAGGATCTCACTGTGTAGCACAGGCTGGCCACAGACTCATGGTGATCTCAGCCTTTTGAGTTTTGGGATTACAGTTGTGTCACCATACCTGGTTGTATTTTTTTTTTTTTTTTGTAATGGAGATTGAACCCAGGGCCTTTGCACTGATGCACATCCCCATCCTTCTTTCTACTTATTTTACTATTTTGAGCCAAGGTCTTGGTAAATTGCTGAATTTCCTGGGCTGGGCTTGCATTTGTAATACTCTTGCTTCAGCCTTCCTTAATGCTGGGAATACAGGTATCTGTTACTATGCCTGGCTCAGAATATATTGTATTGTATTATATTTACTCTTGGTATTTTGAAACAGAGTTCTGCTATTAATTCAGACTGACCTTAAACTCATAGCAGTCCTCCTGGCTCAGCCTCCTGAGTGCTGGGAGTACAGGTGTGCTCCATCATATCTGGCTCAAGTGGATTTTTAGAAAGTATGATCCAGCTGTATTCTCTGTGTAAGGAACAGTTTTGATTTAACACTGATAATAGGTTAAAAGTAAAAGGATAGAACAAGATATATCATGCGAACAGTAACCGAAAGCAAGCTGGAGAGGCTGAACTGGTATCGGACTGTGGAGAAGGATATTCTCTGGTTTATCTTTCAATGTATTACCTGTTTGAGACTTCGGGCCTGACCAAGCCATGTGTTTGATTCTGGAGGAAGTCTAGCAAAAGCATTAATGTAAAAGGAAATGACAGCAGGACCCGTGTCCCTGTGGAAAGCTACGGGACAACACCAGATGCCTTGCTGAGATATGCCGCAGGAGCGATAACATGACGGCTAACTAAGTCAAGTCTCACTGCTGTGGTAATTGAGTTGTACTCTTCTTGCCAATCCTGTTGATTCCTCCCATTTGCTCTGTTGCTGCCTTTGTTCTTTCTCAATAAAAGGTTACGGAAAATCATAGTCAAGGCATCAGTCTGAGTGGCTGAAGCCACCTGATCCCAGAATTTTGCCTCTCTTATTTTTGTTTTTCTTGTTTTTTTCTTTTCATCCACTGGCACCTCATTCTCGGGACCTGTGACCCCAGACAAAAACGGAATATACACCAACATCAGACAAGAGAGACTAATGAAAAATTATAAGTAGATACAGAGAAAAATATTTCATAATAATAAAGATCAGTCATTCAAAAATACATGTGTACCTCACAACAGGGTTCCATTGTACATGAAGCAAAAACTGATGGAATTAAAAAGGAGAAATAAGCCAGGTGTGGCGCCCGCCTGTAATCCCAGCACTTGGGAGGCTGAGGCAGGAGGATCATTGTGAGTTCGAGGCCAGCCTGGGTGACAAAGTGAGCTCAAGGTCAGCCTGAACTGCACAGTGAGACCCTGTCTCAAAAAAGTAGATAGATAGATAGATAGATAGATAGATAGATAGATAGATAGATAGAAAGAAAGAAAGAAAGAAAGAAAGAAAGAAAGAAAGAAGAAATAATTCAGAAATAATGATTGGAGGCTTCAGTACCCCATATCAGTGATGGACAGATCAACTGCACAGGACGCTTCAGCAGGAAGTAGGTGGGATGCCAGGCACCAGCTGCAGGTCTGCCAGTCATCAGTAGCACGCCCTCTCCCAAGGTGGCAACATGGACTGCCTGCAGAGCCTTGAATAGCTCCACGGTACCTCATATACTAGCCCATGAAACAGTGTTCAATCAGTGCAAAAGAACTGGAGTCTCATATACCCTCAGACCTCACTGTGTGAAATTAGAGGTCATCACAGAAGGAGAAGGAGACCAACTGGGATGGAGCTCGGGTGGAGTGAGGGCTTGGCATGCACAAGACCACAGGTCTGGTCTCCAGCAGCAAAAAACATTTACAAGAACGTACAACTAAGATAGGAAAAGGTTTATAATGAATATATAAATGGACAAATGACATGCAGATAATTCACAGAAGAGAACATGCAAATTACTAACATTTGAAGAATCATTCAGCCGTACAAAATAGTTTGCAGAGAGATTCTTTTCATCTCCTCTCCTCCCTGCCCACTCCTAGTATGCTTAAACTTTTAAGGAATATAAGTTTGATACTTAATGTGCTGATCTTTATAGAAAACAGTGCTCTTAATTCTTCTGGTTCAGAATAACAAGTTGCATTTAGCAATCACATTTCTTTTCCTTTTTTTGTTATGGGAGGCAGTGCTGGGGATCAAACTTGGGATCTGATGCGTACTACATCCCCAGTCCCTGTTCTTTTTATTTGTTTGTTTTAAAACACGGCCTTGCTTTGTAGTCCAGGCTGGCCTTGAACTCACTGTGTAGTCTAGGCTGGCAGTCCTCCTGCCTCAGCCTCCTGAGGGCTGGGACTATGGGCATGCACTTCCATGCCCAACTTTAATTTTTTCTTTTTTGGTATGAGGAATTGAACTCGGGACCATGCGCTTGCCAGGCAGGCATCTGTACTGCTGAACAATATCCCTGGCCCTGACTTCAATTTTTTTTTTTCAATTTTTTAATAATAAAAGCCAAACCATTTCATGTTTTAAAAAAATATAGGGCCAGGGATATAGCTCAGTGGTACAATGCCTGCCTGGCAATCATGAGGCCCTGAGTTCCATTCCTAGTACCAAAAAAATTATAAAGAATAAAAAATTTAAAAAAAAATCAGGGCCGGGGATATAGCTCAGTGGTATAAGCACCTGCCTGGCAAGCACAAGGTCCTGAATTCAGTTCCAGGTACAAAAAAAATATATATAAGCCATAAAGACAAAAATGAAAGCCCTCTCATCTCCACATCCCACTCTCCAGATGTTGTCCTTCTCATTTCCTTTTTAAAATTTGCTGCCCACTCTTTGCTTTCTTTCACTCTATAAAATTTCCCTGAATTACTCCAACAAAAGCAGCATTTTTTTTTGTGTGTGTGTGTGTGTGGTTTTTTTTTTTTGCAACAGGGTCATGCTGTGTAGTTCAGGCTGGCCTTGAACTCACTTTGTAGCATAGGATGAGCGTGAGCTTGCGGTGATCCTCCTGCCTCAGCCTCCTGAGTGCTAAGATTACAGGTGTGTGCCACCACAGCTGGCAGAGGCAGCATATATTTTAATGGACCAGAAAAGCAGAGGGCCCAGAGCAACAAGCCTGGATGTTAATCTCCATAGACTTCATGATCAGGGTGCATTCGTGTCCAGCCTACACATATATTTTTTAAAACAAGAAGTCTGGAACTGTGAAGGCCTCAGAGCAAAGCATGTCCATGGTATGTAATGATTGTAGCTGCACACAGTGAGCTAATAGTAGTTGAACTCTTATATTAACCTTCGTGAATGGTGTGCTCTGAAGTAGGTGTCTGGTGGAACTGCTCTTGGTACAGGCTGGGTATGCGGATACCTTGTCCCACACATGAACTATTTGAATCTTTTTTTAAAAAGTTCTTTATGGAATAATATTTTAGAACCAAAGGACTGCTGCAAGTTCTCACTTACCTCCTTGTTTTATTGATGACAAGTGCTTGGAATATAGTAGTCACTGACTGTCCTGAATTAACAGGTGAGTGAAATGAGAACGAGAGAGCAAATGACCTGTTCCTAGCCCTTGTGAGTTCCTGACACCATCCATGGTCTCCGAGATTTAAGTGAAGCAACCAGAATGTTAATAGTGAAGATGGCCTGGTATGGTGGTGCACACCTATAATCCCAGCACTTGGGAGGCTGAGGCAGGAGAATCACCTCCAGTTTGAGGCCAGGCTGTATTATGTAGCAAGACCCTGTCTGAAAAACCATAAAAACAACAAAAGTGGAACTGTCACTCATTTAATAAACCTTTATTGAAAGCTTTAGATGAGCTGTGTGCTGTTCCGGTTGCTGTTACTTAATGTTTTCCATTCTCAGGTCCACAAAGAAGGGGAGCCAGCAGGTTGTCAGTGTTCATGAAGGGGTAACTGCACATCCCGTGCTCGGCGGCTCTCGCCCTGATCACGGCTGTGGGGCTGCAGTTGCACCTGCTGTCCTGGAAGCAGGGATGTGGCTGTGGGTGAGGGTGGGTCTCTCTGTGGACTTGGTATGAACTAAACACTGTGTGTGTGTGTTGTCTGTTTTTGTTTTCCAGCTGGAAGAAGAGAGATCCGTACTCAATAATCAGTTGTTAGAAATGAAAAAGAGGTAGGCTTCCTTTCTGTGTTTGTGTGTGCATGTGTGTTTAGTAAGAAAACTTTACAACATGATACATGTGGTAACTTGTGAAAGACAAAAGACCTTGTGCTCAGAAGATGGCACTGTGATAGTTCAGTGCTCGTACTTGACAGATTTTCAAAATCCATTTGCACAAGTTTCAAATAGTTGAAATTTTAAGCCATGATCAATTTCATTACAAGTGTCCTAAATAAAATCAGATTTTGTCATACTCCTCCTAGTTTCAGTAACAAAAAATATTATACCTTGACATATGTAGTAACAATGCCTGTAAACACTGGCTTCAGTTATGTGTTATGTAAAATTCTGACTTTTGCTGAGCATGGTAATACACACCTATAATCTCAGCACTTGGGGAACCTGAGGCAGGAGGATCGCAAGTTCAAGCCCAGCCCTGGCCACTTAGGGAGACCCTGTCTCCAAATACAAAGTAGAAAAAGGGCTGGGGTATACCTCAGTGCAGAGGCCCTAGGCTCCATCGCCAGTAGCACAAATAGTAAGTAATACTTTTTCAGTAATAATTGGTAACATTATTTTAAGTGTTTCTATTTCTAAAAAAATAGCTCTGTTATTTATTATACTTCCATGGTACTCAAATGAAAACCTAGTATAATTTTCCCAGTGCTTTTCCATAAGGACGAACATGGCTCACAGAAATTATTCAGAAGCTTGGTGCTTATACATTCTGAATGGTCTTTGTCTGCTCTTTTAAAACATACAGTTTTGGGGCTGGGGAAATAGTTCACTGGCACAAGTGCCTGCCTGGCAAGCACAAGGTCCTGAGTTCAATTCCCAGTACCTAAAAAAAAAGTGCAGTTTTGCTGTGTGTGGTGACACACGCTGTTATCCCATCACCCAGGAGGCTGAGGCAGGAGTATCACCTTGAGCTCGAGGCCAGCCTGGGCTACACAGTGAGACCCCATCTCAAAATAACAAAACAAAAACAACCATGCAGTGTAGTTTAGGGCAGTGGTGGCGAACCTATGGCCAGTGTGCTGCAGCAGGCTGTACCATGGAAAGCTCAAGAGACCCGCCCTCGCTGCTCTAAGGTGATTCTCCGCTTCTCCTCCGTGTCAAGCAGGTGTGGTGTGTGGATAGTGCCGAGAACTATAGCTCACCCCGTGGGTTGCTGTGGAATAATAAGTAGCTGGAGATCACAGCTATCACACATAGGCACGCTTTTTACTTATTTTTTAAAAACAAAAAATAAAAAGCAAGATGACCTCATCAAGAATTCCCCCATGCACCTAGGAAGTATGCATATTACTTCTCAGGGCAGAGGGGCTTTCCCCATCCTGATAACAGCCACATGCGTCTCACCCATAGGTGAGTTTCTCTGGCCACAGAGATAGTTGGATGGCACCAACTGCGCTCCGGAGGGTGTTCAATAGGGCAGGGAGGTCGCTCAGTGGTACAAGGCACGCCTAGCTTGCACATGGCCCTGCTTCCACCCCTAGCACCAGGAAAACAACCCACAAAGTAAAGGACAATTCGGCCTTTGTCCAGGGTGCCTTTCTGTTGTTTTCCATTAAATACTTAGGTGCGTTCTCACTAAGGGGGCGCTGTACTCCACGTGGAAAGGCATCCCCAGGGGTAGTGAGTGGCGGCTCCTCCGCTGAACGGCTGCCTGTGCCTGTGCGCAGCGCTGCTCTGTCCCTGGCAGCCTCAGGGTATTTCACTTGGCAGAAATAAGCTTTTGTTTCTTCAGAAGAGCCTCAAGCAGCTGGCAAAGACCTGTGGAAAATAACTCGGGCTGGCTCTTAGCGCTTTCTGCCCTGGGAACATAAAAATGGGCGTAGGACTGACATCATCTCCCTGGCTTCATGTAACACTGGCTAATTCAAAAATTCATCCAGGCCGGCGTGGTGGTGCACACCTGCAATCCCAGCACTTGGGAGGTGGAGGTAGGAGGATCTCGTGAATTCAAGGCCAGCCTGAGTGGGCTGCGTGACGAGACCCTGTCTCAACACCGACAGCTCCCCCCACCCCCCGCAAATACATCTAGTCCCTAAACGGCCCGGTGAAAGGCAGATTAGGACTTGCATTTTAAAACCCTGACCGCAGAGTCCCCAAAGTGAGGCCCCGTGGCCAGGCACTGGGGACTGATGAATGACGGATGCAGGTTTCACACTCGGGGCCTCAGGGTTGATAGGGGTTCTCTCCTCCCTGAATGGTTAACCTTATTTATTTCTTACTTCGTTTTTTTTTTTAATGCTGTGCATTATTAGTGCTTACTTATCATGTGACTTTAAATTATAGGCCTTTTAAAATATGATGAAGCCCGTGACTTTTTTCATGGCTTAAAAAAATGGGATAAATTTGGAGAGTGAAATTTGGTGAGTGGGAGCTGGGGATATAGCTCAGCGGCAGTTTGGTGAAATTCTTCTCACTTTTATTTGTTCCCATTTTCCATGATGGATATTTAGGAAAGGTATCTTGAAAATTACTGCTAATTTTGATGAGTATACATAACATTTTTTTCTGGGAGTGAAACATTTAAAAATCTAGTTACTCACGTAGAACTTTTTGTTAACTAACCCACATGGTAAGTTGTTTTAAGTACACAAATGTAAATATATTTTAGCTAATAATTTCGGCTTTTAAATGTCTTCTAAATGTCAGTTTGGTAAGGGTTTGTATGTGAATCTGTGTATAATGTTCAAGTAAATTTATGAAACATAGAGTACTAAAAAGAACTTGATAGGAAGCTGGGGATATAGCTCAGCAGCACAGTGCCTGCCTGGCAAGCACAAGGTCCTGAGTTCGATTCCTGATTCCTGCCCCCCCCAAAAAAAACAACTTGATAATTCTTTTAGTTCTGAAAGACTTGTAAGTACTTAAATTATAAGGGTATGTGAAATGTAGTTGTTCCCAGAACCAAGAGCTTAGCCGACAGTTTAATTTGGAATTGATCCTTGGCCATACAAGTTAAGATAGCATATAGTTACTTTACTCAAATCGCGCTATCAACATGCAGGACTTACATCCCTACTAGCCTGAAACTGGCTGTTAAGAAGATAGCAGTATCCTCTGTATTTGCTGTGGGTTTCTTGTGTCCGTTACATTGTTACATGCAGTAAAGGTTTTTCTCCAAGCTTAAAAATACTGTAATCACTTGAAAAGCTGGTGTCAGGCAGCAGACCTCTGAGAGCAGCAGAGTAAGCCCTGCCGTGCTCTGATGCCAGGACTGGAGAGGTCAGCCCCTGCGTGGTCCTTCAGCTGCACACACACAGGGGAACTGCCTGGGCTTCCTAATGTCCGAGAGGGGACAGCAAAGCCAAGCCTGGACATGGGCTGTCTGGAGTCAGAGTCCATTCCGGTGGTGTAAATGGAAGGTCTCTGTCAGAAGGAAGAGTGGTTTAGGGAGCCTGGCCAGCAGTTCCGAAGCGGTGTGTGCTGCCTCAGCTCATTCAGCTCAGTGTGGGTTATAACTGTCTGACTGTCTCCGAGCTTGCGCTACTTACCAATGCTCATTTCACCCCTCTCTTTTCCCTTTCCTACTCTTGCTTCCTTTGCTATATCTGTGTGTCTTTCATGGTAAGACTAAAGAAAGTCTATCCACGTTATAATAAATAAATTTCATATATTTTTAGTAAACCAAATTGTTGTATATATTTTTGGCTGCCTTTGTCCCTCTGTGTCTCGCTTTTGTTTTGTAAAATCTACCCAGCAGTGTATACATATACACACACACACTCTTTCTTTTTGATATCTATACAGCAAAGAACTTCAGTGCAAATTTAGTTCTCCGTACTGTATTTGCATTTCTCCTCATGTTTCTAATATTTGGTTCTTGTTATCTTGCATTTTTAAAGCTTGCCCAGTAACACGTTAAGGTATCTGCTTCATTACTGCAGTTTATTTCTTACGTGAGTTGTAAGAAGAGAATCTGAGTGGCGTGTCCCCCGGGGCGGGTAGACTGTGGCCCGCAGCCCTGCTGCCCTGTTGTGTGTTCTTTCCCTTTCGGCATTTTGAGCAATGGCGAGCCATGCCAGCCATGCCAGCCAATGCAGCCTCAGCATAACACAGTCTGCAGCTCAGCTGCCAGTCTTGTTGGCGTAAGTGGTTAACTCAGCCGCTCTTGGTTTGCACAGTGGAATTAGGGCTTCGAAATGCCCTGAAAAGCCATCAATGAAGCGATGTCACAAAGACAGCTGCGGGGGTCACTTGTCCTGTCATTTGCAGGTTACCTTCTTAGTCCTGTGTCCTTTGGAAACTTACACAGGAAGTGCTCCGCTAGCCATTTCCTTCGGAAACTGCTTGGCTGAGAGGTTGCATGTGTATGTGACAGGAAGCACAGGGTCCGCTTGGTGGCCCGGAGAAGTGCACCGATCCCTTTTCCCTGCTGCCAGCAGGTGCTGTTTATTCCTCCCCAACACCAAGAGTCTCTGGGATCGTGGCCAACTAGAGCCCCGAGTGTGGGAAAATCTATCTTCAGCAACCCCCAATCATGATAGTTAGCAGCAAAGACTTTTTTTAAAGACTTAAATGACTTTTAAAGTCATTTTTCAAAGCTGGGCGTGGTGGCGCACGCCTGTAATCCCAGCACTAGGGAGGCTGAGGCAGGAGGATCTTTGCAAGTTCGAGACTAGCCTGGGCTACAAAGTGAACTCAAGGTCAGCCTGAACTGCATAGTGAGACCCTGTCTCAAAGATAAAAAGAAAAATAAGTTACGTTTTCCAAATTTGAGTTGAGTTGATTAACCAGGGAGGCTCTGGAAATCATGTTTATAATAGAACAGACTTCCAGATGAGTGTGATAGAAATCTAAGGAGCCCAAGGTTTATTGCATCTTGGGATGACATCAGACACAGTGCACATGGCAAGCAGTGCCTGCCCCTTCCCTCCACGTGCGTTTTAACCTTAGAAGACGCCAGTTCCTAGGAAGGTGTTGACGCGGTAATCAGGTGTTTTTAATTCAAGAAATGTCCGTAAGTCTCAGATTCTTTTCTTACTACTTATCATTCTGGAGTGTAAGTGTAAGCCACACAGTAAGATAAATACAGCACTTTTCATCTTCTGTGTAGAATTTCAGTTTACTGTAAACCACGAGAATCCTGTAATTCCTGTGCCGGATACCTTGGGTCTCACTAACCAGACATACATTCTGCCATTTCTAACCTGGGCCTCAGTTTCCTACTCCTCCAGTTGGGTCAAAATCGGACCAAACCATCACATGCTCTGCACTCACCCAGCTTCTTGCAGCAGAACCAGTTGCGGTCCAGTTTGCAGTTGCAGTGCTGACTGCTCACAGGCAACTGTGTGCCCCAAGGGCAAGTCTAGGCTGCTCTCTCCAGCTTGGTTTCCCTAGCGCAGTTTGTAACGCAAGGTCTTTTTCCTCTTGGCATTTCATATCGCATGGAATGTGAAAGAAGTTTTTATTTTAAACCAGTTAAAAAGTGCAAAGGAAGTGCAGCCAGTTCCTGGCGCCCTCACCCAGCTGCCCGTGACGTGAACATCCGACACAGCGTGGCACATGTGTCAGACCAAGAAAGTCCCCGGGGAGCAGCTCCGGTGACACTCAGCCGTGTTCGACTTCCCCCACTCGTGCTGTCATCCAGGACCCGAGCCGGAAAGCTTGGGTGCACATCGGTGTCCGTAGTCTCGCCCACTCCACGGCCGCCACAGGCTCGGTCCGCTCTTGCCGACGAGAGCACACACAAACGCACAGCAGCCTGCCTTGTGTCTTGTGCTCCTTGCCTGTTCCCTTCCATCCTTCCTCTCTACCCGCTGCCTGTGCCCAAGGGGGAGGCTTCCTCTCCTCGAGGCCTCGCCCGCCCTCTGCTGGGCCAGAACAGGAAGGCTTAAACTTCTCAGAGCCCCCACCCTTCTGTCTTAATAATGTAGTTTAATTTCTATGAGCAACTCCACATCCTCTTCAGATTCTGCGGTTGAAAAGTAGTAATCCTTCAGTTGGAACAATAGTTTTGGCCCACATGATCCAAAAACTGGCTAAAAAAGTTACTGAAATTAGTGAGAACCAACTGATATTTCCAGCATAAACTGCTCTGCATGACATCTGTATAATTGCTTTGCATGTATGTATTTTAGTTGTCAATGCTTGGTAATAATTTATCCCAGAAGTAGCAAAATTCACCTGGGGTTCTATTTTGGTATAATTGTGGGGGAGGGATGCAACAATTTTTTTTTTTTAAATCTACATCTTCCAAATTTATTAACTTGTCTCTTTAAGTTCAAATGGATACAATGATATGCAAATTCTGGCATGTCTATGCATAGGTAAACTTTTTCTCCTTTTCTCCCTGCACAGTAAGTAAAATTTCAAGTAAAGTTTTGCAAGCATAATAGCCTTAATTGCATATAAAACTGCCCTGTTATGCTTTTTTTTTTAACAATAAAGTTATCTTCGAGTTGTTCTAGAACAGCTGTGTGCTGACCGCTCTCCCAGTTGACTCCTGGAACTCTGATAACTCTTTGGTCTTTTAGAGAATCTGAGTACATAAAAGAGGCCGATGAAGAGAAAGCTTCCTTGCAGAAATCCATCAGTGTCACTAGCGCCTTGCTCACGGAGAAGGATGCAGAGCTGGAGAAGCTGAGGAATGAGGTAGGCGCCCCGGCCCGGGGACCGGCTGCCCTCTTTCTGCCCCGGCCTGCCAGCCTAAGCGGACAGCTGTGTTGCAGGTCACTGTGCTCAGGGGAGAAAACGCTTCTGCCAAATCCTTGCATTCCGTTGTTCAGACTCTCGAGTCTGATAAGGTGAAGCTTGAGCTCAAGGTAAAGAACTTGGAGCTTCAACTCAAAGAAAACAGGAGGCAGCTCAGCAGCTCCTCAGGTAACCAACCCAGTGCCGCCTGGCCCTCTGCGCCCGCTGTCCTCCTCCCCTCCTCCTCCTCCCCACAGCTCGCCTGCCATTCTGTCAGCCGAGGACTGCAGGGCCCCACAGCGCCTGCCTAGTGTCTGGCTGGGCTCCTGGCCCTACCGCACGGGACAGTGGCCGACAGCTGTGGTGCAGCGGCAGTCGCAGGGGCTGAAAGCTCACGGAGAACGCCGGGTGGAGGGTGATGGCTGCTTCTCTGGGGGCCAGGCTGGGACAGGCCCTGTGGCTCTCTGCCCGGGGACAGGAACATGAAATCAGAAACACTTCCCTTCGCTGCAGCAAGGAAAAAGGGCTGCAGTTTGTAACCGCCTCCACTTGTCTTTTGTTTTTAAATATAAGGTAATACTGATACGCAAGCAGAAGAGGATGAGAGGGCCCAGGAGAGTCAGGTAACATTTTTTTCTTAATGCTTTGCTGTCTTTCTGTTTTTCAGAATCGTTTAATCCTTTGAATAGGTGAATATATTCCTGTGTTTCAAATATAGACAGTATTCAAAGCACATACAATAAAAGGTCTTCCCCGGAATCTTCCCCTCAGTTCCTAAACGCCCAGACAGGTGGTTACCGATTCGAGTGTCTTCCCTGCGCAGAAATTTGAACAAAAGTGTGTAGGTGGCGCCCGGAGCGCCCGGCGCATCCCAGTGCTCTGGGTGCCGAAGCAGGAGGCTCGCGGGTCCAAGAAGGAGCTCAGCTCTCTTTGGGTGACAGGGGGGCCCTGCGTCAAAAAAAGAAGTGTATATGTAAGCCAGTATTAATATAGCCATACCCTCCTGCTTTTTAAAAAAATGCCAATAATTTACCATATGAACTGTGTTGCATCAGCCTTTTCTGTAGCTGTATGGTATCCTATTATGGGGACATAATTTTTAACCCATTCTTTTTTTTTATTTTATGGTATTGAAGATTGAGCCCAGGGCCTTCACGCTGATCTACATTCCCAGCCCATTTTTTAATTTTTAATTTTGAGACAGAGTCTTGCTAAATTGTCCGGTATAGGCTTAAACTTGGGGTAAAAGGCCTGCAGTGCCGCCCACTTCCTTTTCGTTGATGGCGTCTGTGGCGTTTCTTACCCCTTAGCCGTGTTACAGACAGTGCTGTGAGGGTTACTGTGAGAAGCGGCAGACGGCTGGACTGGACTAGCACTGTGCTTAGCGTGTGCCGCCCTCAGCCGGCTCGTGAATAACGCTGTTTTCTCTCCCCCTTGTTTCTGCTTCCGTTTGTTTCTGCTGCTGCTGCTGCTGCTGCTCCTGCTGGCAACACTTTTCCTCCCATCAGCAAATGGTTGGTTTTACGTTTCCTAATTTTTGCGTGCGTGTGCGTGCGTGTGTGCGTGCTGCGTGTGTGTTCTGCTTTGCTTACATGCATTTTATGGCTTTTTCTTCTTCCTGAAATGGAGCTCTTAACAGGGGAATGACTTAGAAAATGCAGTTCAAGAAGTGAAAATAGTCCAGTGCGTCTACCTTCAAAGGTGGACTCCCAGATGCTGGGAGGACTATAAATGTGGAGAAAGCCTGGTGGTGGCTGCCTTTGCCTGAGAACGCACCTCGGCAGGAGAAAAAGACCAAAGAGCTTTCAATGCGGGAGGGAAGAGAGGGAGAGTCTCACGTTACAGACTGCGAAGTTTCACTGTAGAGAAGTGAGACCTTGTCACTGTTCACAGGAGAGGAAAGCATCTTCTTGCCTATGAAGTGCCTTTAGATTGAAAGGAAGTGTTCCGGAAGAGCGTCTGCTCTGCCCCGGGACCCCGGCTGCAGGCGCCCCTCCTGTGTGTGGCACCTGAGCACGCGGAGTCAGCGTGTGCCGATGTCCTGCCCTCAGCAGCGGGCACCTTGCCGTCCCTTCTGAGCCCCTCATCCCCCAGGAGATAGACTTCCTCTCCCACGCAGAGCAAACAGGCTCTGAAGAGCGGTCTGTGGAGAACTTGAGGTTGTAAAAGTCCTGAACTGATTCCAGAATTTAATGAAAGAACGTCTTATCCATTTTGTAAAATTGTGTATACGTTCTTAGGTGATAGAAGGAAAAACAGAATTTATGCCATGCATCCAAAAATCTGAGGTGAGGGGCTGGGGATTTAGCTCAGCGGCAAAGCGCCTGCCTGGCAAGCGCAAGGTCGTGAGTTCGGTTCCCCGTACCGGAGAAAAACCAAAAAAAAAAAAATCTGAGGTGATTATTTTTGGACAATGAAAAGTGGCTTTTCTTATTGAAAGAAATGTTTCTTATACTTTCCCATGAATAGTAGCACTCCACCAACCCTCAGGCTTAAAAAGAATAATTTCCTTTGCCTCAGTGACAAATGAAGTTTACCCGTTTACAGCTGGAAACATTCAATGAAATTTGCTTAAAATGCTTTTTCAGATGGGCATGGAAGCACATGCCTGTAATCTCAGCACTCAGAGGCTGAGGCAGGAGGATGGCTGTTTGTTCAAGAACAGCCTGGGCTACATAATGAGTTCAAGGCCAGCCAGAACTACATAGCAAACTGTCTTAAAAAACAATGAAGAAAGTGTTTTTCAGTATAAAGTAGTTGCTTGGCAAGGAACAACTGAAGACTATGGAGAGGCTGAAAGGGGGAGAGAAACCTCCTTAACCCCATCACCCGGATCACCCAGCCTTGCCGGATTCAGCTGTTGGTCAGGGAAGGGCCACGCTCCTGGGCTGGCTGGGATTGAAACTTGGCACCAGCGGAGGCCCTGGGCAGCCTTAGAGCGAGGCGCACTTCTGACTTCCTGATAGCCAGTATTCGTATACTAGATCCCTTACGCACCTCACTGGTTCGTTCTTTCTTTTTTTAAACAAATCAGATTGATTTCCTAAATTCAGTAATAGTGGACCTTCAGAGGAAGAATCAGGACCTCAAGATGAAGGTGGAGATGATGTCTGAAGCAGCTCTCAACGGCAACGGGGACGACCTGAACAGTTACGACAGGTGTGTGTCTCCTCCTGGCCCCGCTGAGCGCACCCGCGCCGCTGTCAGAACAAATGGGCTTTCCAGTTAGGCCCGCCAGTAAATTGTCATGAGAGCAGTGAGACAGCGTTACTTTGTGGTCACTTTGCCATGAATAGATTTCCATGAGTCCACAAATGGTGTGATCTGAGAATTTTTAAATGCTGAAGGTACTGCTTATCCTCTGGGTGCATGGACTTCGCCAGAACTAGTTCTTACTTTTAAGGTTGTTGGTAAGTGCTCTCATGTCTTGAATTCCCTTTGATAAAGTTTATGATTTTACACACTCACGTTTGCAGTGATGATCAGGAGAAGCAGTCCAAAAAGAAACCCCGGCTCTTCTGTGACATCTGTGACTGCTTCGATCTCCACGACACAGAGGACTGCCCCACGCAGGCGCAGATCTCCGAGGACCCGCCCCACTCCACGCACCACGGCAGCCGGAGCGAGGAGCGGCCCTACTGTGAGATCTGTGAGATGTTTGGGCACTGGGCCACCAACTGCAATGACGACGAGACTTTCTGACGCAGCCTCGGGGCGGGGCTCTCCGAGGCGCCTGCGCTTACGCAGTTGGACACCAGCTTCGGCGTCGTGTGCGTGGCTTCAGGAGAACTCACGTTATTTTTGACTCCAGCAAATCTAAGAAAATATTTTGGTCTTCCACAGATTGTCCTTTAGTCTCCCCTTATAAGTTAGAATAAATAAGTATTTAGTAGGTGAGCTTTCACCTCTACTTTGGTTTTCTTAGTTTTTAAATTTGAAGATGTTGCACCAGGTGCCATTACATTTATTGTCCTTAGGGAAACTTTGTAGAACAAGCCCTACCCTTTCAACACCTTATTTAAGAAACTTTAAATTATGCCGTTACTTTTCATATTTGCACTAAAATATTTTCAGGCTGCATTTGTATATTTAGGGTTTTTGAGTTAAGCTTTGACACTGGAATGAGTTGCAAAAAATACACCGTTTTGCATTTTCATTTACTCAGAGTATTTTATTCTTCAAGGAATATTGAGCTCTTTGCACTACCTGTTACAGTAGTGCCTTTTTTCGGGCCTGACAATACTTCCATGGGGTTATACATCATGAAACAGGTAAAGGGAGGAGAAGCCCCCTGTTGCTTTGGGGACATTTTACAATCTATATGCTGCACCCACCTACTTCGACTGTGGTGTTTCCTCTACTGATTTTACATAATTTCAACTTCTATATATGTATATATATTTTAAAAGATCTATATTTTGGAGTAAAAACACAGTGTGTCTTTCTTTTCAGATTTTTACTAAGTAAAGGAAAACACCTAAAATGATGGCCAGGATGCAACAGACGAGGCCAGTAATGGTGTCATGTGGCTTTACAACTACAGTTGTTTTGATACCAGGAATCAATGCAACTACAGTATTTTTTTGTTTCCATTTTGTTTTTTGTTTTTTGTTTTTTAACCAGATCTAAATAACTGGAAAGATTTTTTCCCATTTTTTTTCATTCAGTAGCAGATATCCCCCGCACTGAATTAAGCCACTATAAAACACCTAAATCTACAATCTTCCTTTACAATTTGTTTTTACTGTTTTTAGATGAATGTATGATGAGAAAGTCAACATTAATAATTATGGATTTTCTTATCACAAAAAAATAAAGGACCTCAAGCACCAGAACAGTTTTATCAACAGTCAGAATCTATTTATCATTTGAATGTCTTCTAGAATATGTAAAAAGTAATAAAATATATCTTCCATCCACATGTATAATAAGAATTTCTATAATTGTATATATGCCTCTCATGTATTCCCCCCGAGATTTTCAACTGTGTGTTTGACAAGTGAATAAATCTGTTATCAGTTGAAATTTTTGGTTGATAACATAAAAAGGATTGTTTCACAGGCAGAAAACATGTCAAGCAGTATTAAAATCTGAGCAAACAAGTATTCTGTATCTACTTTAATAAAATGGTTACTATTATTTTTGCCAATAGTAGTAAACTTGTTTTTCTCAGCTTGTCACAAATGTTTTTTTTTTTCCTCTTGTCTTTTTGAGACAGGGTTTCATATACTATGCACTTCAAACTGGCCTTGAACTCACTTTGTAGCCCAGTCTGGCCTCAGACTTGAAGCAGTGATCCTCCTGCCTCAGCCTCCTAGGTGCTGGGATTACAGGCATGGGCCACCACACCCAGCCCACAGTGGCTTTTCTTTAAATGAGCAAATCTTAGAGATCCAAATAGCAATTTCTTTCTTCTTTTGGTGCTGGGGATTGAACCTAGCAACCCATGTGCCACTGAGCCTCCCCCAGCTCCCCAAGTAGCACTTTCTACTGTAAAGAGCTTGAAGAAACTGCTGTGTCCTGGCAGCAGCTGGGGAGGATGGAGGGATTCCTGAGCTTGATGCTGACTGAATCACTGAGGATTTTCATTTTTTGTTTGGTTTGTTTTGTTTTTGAGGCAGGGTCTCGCTATGCAGTTCAATCTGGCCTTGAGCTCACTTTGTAGCCCAGGCTGGTCTCAAACTCCCAATGATCCTCCTGCCTCAGCCTCTCAAGTGCTGGGGTTATAGGTGTGCACCACCACACCTGGCTTAGGATTTTCTAAAACTGGAAAAGTAGGCACAGAAGGCTACTCTGCATTGTGTGGTGCAGTGGAGCCTAAGAACTGGGGAGAACATTCAGATCCGAGTATGAAATGACTGCTGCCTGCAGAGCCTAAGTGTGCCAGAGGATCAGGGGACGATGCCAAGGATCCTGGGCCTCTTGAGTGACTTCACAAAAGAGCTACTCCACCAACTCAGACTGTTCACTTTAGGGCGTGGGAAACGTTTCTGGTGGGTGGTATTGTCTGGAATTTTCGCTAAAGCACCTCTTGCTCCATCATCTGAAATCCTCACTTGCTAAGTTACAGTCATACACGCTTGAGATTTCACCAACCTTGGGCGTTTTACCTCCTTACCTTCACCTAACAGCTCATGACTTGGCTTGTGAGCACTACATTTGTTTTCACGTGTGTTAAGATGGTACAAAACTACATGTGAGAAGAATTCGAGACTGGCAGAGATCCACTGTGGATCCTAGTTGAGAAGGGAGCATGGAAGTATTTTCATGTGTGCTCAAAAGTTACTCCAAAATCAAAGTTTGTAGCTGGGTGTGTTGGCGCCCACCTATAATCCCAGCACATGGGAGGCTGAGGCAGGAGAAACACCCCGAGTTTGAGACCAGCCTGGCCTACATAGTGAGTTCAAGCCCAGCCTGAACTATATCGTGAGACTCTGTCTCAAAAACAAAAAGCTAAAAACGTAAATAACCATATTTGATTAAATCAGGAACGTGAGAACGTAAGTCTCGATGGATTGCTTGCTTTTCTGTATCATCCCCAGAGCACTCTCTCACTCAGACTCTACAGTAATTGCTTAGTCTTCATTAACAGAATGTATTAAGACACATTGAGGAGGCCATGCATTCGGGTATCAGACATTGTCAAGTCTCATCGGATCCCAGGTGTCCCGTTCTACACTAAGGTATCCAAGCACTTATAATGATTTATTCAGCAGTCAAGTTCCAGGGAGCCTGCTCAGCCTTTCACATGAGTTAGTCCTCTTTCGGTGTTCACAACTCACAGATCGCAAGCTGATTTTACTGCTAAGCAAGGGGTAGAGCCTCGATTCCAGATCTGACAGTATACGGGCACCCTTACAGAACAGCAGTCTTGCAGGCATATTATAACAAAAGCTAGAAATCGATTCACAGCCTGAGGCGATGCTCTTGCTGCCTCTCATATAGCTAGCTGCAGTCAGTCAGCCTTGACTATCTACTTCTCTTTGGTAATGTGCTGGGCCAACTTGACCATATCCAGCTTGTTTTCCTTAGTTAGAAAAATAGTTTCCAACTTGTTTCAAGGACTTCATGTCTGGGACAGAGCGGCCCAGTCAAGGACCCATGTAACTCTCCACTTGCTCTGCTCACACCCCTCTCCCCTCCTTCCCAGAATGTTCCTGTCCAATGATAAAAAAATTCCTTTTGAGTAAGTCTGCCTGACAACATATGACTTAATTCACGTAATCCGTGTATCCAATCGTGATAACCTGCTATCAGTTTTGCACTTCCCACTTGCAAACCATATTTAAACCGAACTCAAACCTGACTCGGCTGGTGATTTGAGCCTCTGGGATCCCCACCCCGCTCACGTAATAGAAGTTACCTTCTAACTCCTCGATGCAAAGAATCTTCCATTCGGTTTGATCCTGTTTTGCTGCAATGATAGTATTGTATGAAATAACGTCGCCTTACAAGTTTGCAAGGAAAAGCTAAAAACCGAAAGAAACCCCGTGTAAGTTTCCCTTGACCCTAAGTATGTACTGGAGCTCACAAACCAAAGCAACCTTCATTAGTGGTAAGGGGAGAACATGATTTTTATAATTTAAAAGATTTGCTTTCAAGTCGAGCCTCAAAGTTTTACAGCAACTACTCTTGGTGGTAAGAAAGAAGCGGTGATTTTTTAAACAGGACGACAGATCCGGTCTCCATCCTTAAACTCCATTTTTAGCCCCCAGTGACTGGGGCGAAGGGCCGCTGGATAGAAAAAAAGGCGGACACTAGGACCACACTAGCGAGAGCCGCGCTCCGCGGGTTCAGGCTTCCGGCTGGGCAAGCGGCGGCCCGGGTCACGTGGACGCGCCGTCAGGTGACCGCGCTGCGGCCGCGCCGGCAACGGGCGGCGGGGCAAGATGGCGGCGCACTTGTCCTACGGGCGCGTGAACCTGAACGTGCTGCGTGAGGCTGTCCGCCGCGAGCTGCGCGAGTTCCTGGACAAGTGCGCGGGAAGCAAGGTGAGGGGCAGTGAAGGCGACCCCCACGCTCACCTCCCCTGGTCCGGCCTGGCCTGACCCGGTCCTGGGTCCCCCGAGCTTGCCGTGTACGAGGTCCGCTGGGGCTTGCAGGAAGCGAGCTTCGGGACCCTTCCGCCTGCAGCTGCTGCGGGTGACTGCGGCGAAGCGGGAGGCCCCGGGCGCGTAGCCTGGGTCCGCGTGCCGCCGCGTCTCTTCTGAGACTGCAGAACACGTCGGTGTCCTGTCCCAGCCCCTGGCGAGCCGCTGTCCGCCGGGTCTTCTCCGGCGCTAGAGAAGCAGCTCTGGGTATCAGACGTGGGGCCCGGGGCGCCCGGCCCGGGGATGCAGATGGCCCGGGGCCCGTTCGTTACCACAGCCGTGCTTGTCAGTGCAGATCCAGCATCGAACGTGTGGAGCACCGACGCCTTACACAGAAACGATGGGAGGAGATGTAGTTACCTGGGGTTTTTAGCTCGGCCTTCCTAAAACAGGATGAATTACCCTGGTAGAGCACCAAGCTCCCGAGGGAGGCAGACGCTGTAGATCAGGGAGTTCAAAGCCTTTAAGAGTTGCTGCCTCTTTGTTCTTTTGGAATGGTTTATCAGTCCGCCTGGTAACTTGGCAGCCTTCCTCGGAAGGGAAGACTGAGGAACCTCAGCAACCAGACTTACACGAGAGAGAGTGGTTGCTTGCAGCCGCTGAGAGCACAAAGCAGGCTAAAGTATAAGGGACCAGTTTATTGCCCTTTTTTCTTCTTTTTTCTTTTTTTTTCTTTTTTTTTTTTTTTGGTCTTTTTGAGACGGGGTCTCGCTCTGCAGTTCAGGCTGGCCTTGAGCTCACTGTAGCCCAGGCCGGTCTCGAACTTGCAATGATCCTCCTGCTTCAGCCTCCCGAGTGCTGGGATTACAGGCATGTGCCACCATACCCTGCGGGGGGACCAGTGTAATTCTAGCAAATAATGCTGAAATGTGAATGAGATCATGGATTGGATCAGTGTGGAGATCCTGGATGTAATGTTGTACTATATCTTTGCCAGATGTTACCACTGGGCAAGACTGGGTTAAATGCACAGAGATCTCTGTTATTTCTTACAACTGAAGGTTAATCTAAAAATATTTAAACAATAATTTCAATTAAAGAAAAAGTAGAGCTGGAGTTTCATAGTAGAAATACTCAGAGGGGCCCAGAACAGTGGCTTACAGTGTCAAAAAGTCTTAGTTTGAAGTCTTGACTCGCTTGTGTTGCAAGATCCAAGGATGACCTCGAACTCACTATATATCCTAGGCTGGTCTTGAACTCGAGGCAGTCATCCTGCCTCAGCCTCCCAAGTGCTAGGATTACAGGTGTGTGCCCCCATGCTCAGTAGCAATTAGAATTTTTAACTCTGAATTTGAAGAAGATATACCAGTTGTGAATGCCTGCTGCTTCACGTTGATATTGAAATTCCTGAGGTTATCTGTCTGTAGTAAGAGAATGTTTCTCCCCTCTTACAGGCAATAGTTTGGGATGAGTACCTAACAGGACCCTTTGGCCTGATTGCACAGTATTCACTACTGAAGGTAAACAAGCTCTGTGGGGGTTGTTCCGGGATTAATAATTCTGAACTTCAGCAGTGATGATAGAATTTTACGTTTCCTTCCAACTAATTGACATGCAAAGCTGTGTGATCAGTTCGAACACTGATACTAGCGGGTGATTCGCGTCTGTGCAGTGGTCCGTGCAGACCTTGGCGTTACGTTACGTGGCCGTTTCCCGTGCCTTCCGTAGTTCATCACTTCGCACTCATTTGAATGCGGATGCAATGGTTGCGGCTTTATCCTGAAACTTCATGTATGTGGCCTGGGGAAGGGGTCTGACCTTTAATAATAAATTGTTACCATGCGTTTGATTAGAAGTATGAAGGATTTCTGGGCCTGAAAACGATAGGTACGTTTATCTTCTGTGCATCTGTTTTCCTAGGAACATGAAGTGGAAAAAATGTTCACACTTAAAGGAAGTCGTTTGCCGGCAGCTGATGTCAAGAATATTATTTTTTTTGTCCGACCCAGGCTAGAACTGATGGATATAATTGCTGAAAATGTGCTCAGGTATCTCAGCGCTTCTGTTGGGTAAAAGAGGCTGGTCCTTACAATGGATGTAAGGTACTGCGCTCCTCCTCCTCATAGGCTCCCACCCCTGCGGTGCATTGGAAGGTGGTACAATTCAATACAATGAACTCTACCCTGAGAATGTAGCATATTACAAGGTGTGATGCAGCGTTTCCTTTTTTTTTTAATGGACTATCTGCAGGTCAGATTTCCCATCTGTGACTAGTAGTTTTTCCAGGTGCTTCCTCTATTACCATCCTTTATTCACATTAACTGTTTAAAATTTTAGATTATTTAAGTAATTTGTATAGAAATAGCCTGAAAAGCCATGAGTTTTGGGGTTAAATGAGCATCTACTTTCCCCACCTCTGCTTTGGGGCATTGAAGGTGAGAGTCTGTCCCCTCTGCCCCCTGCAACTAGAAGAGGGCACTGGGGGAATCTCAGAGGGTTTGGGACTCTGCACTTCCCACATGGTTTAATTTTAACATACGTACATGGCCTTCACGCTGGATGGTGTGAGGCTGTGATTTAGAGATTTGTTTTGTGAGGTGTTGTCTTCTGCAGATTAAAGGGAGCGAGGTGTTAATGTGCATCACCTTATCCTGTTTTTAAGCCAGAGCAGTTGTGTGATTTTGTTGCCAGCAGTGCTAACCTGACTGTGATCCGCTTACCTTGGAAATGCAGGAACTTACATGGATGTACTCTAAAATAAAATGCAAAGTAAAAAAACCAAAAAGCCATTTGGGAAAACTGAACAGAGCGGAGGATATAGCTCAGGGCCATAGCACCTGCCTGACAAGTGTGAGGTCCTGAGTTTGATTCCTGGTACAGAAACAAACAAACAAACAAACAAACAAAAAACTAGGCTGGGATGGAACAGTGTGAGAAGGGATATGGGAGCTCCTAGCGCTGGGGAAGCAGAGGCAGGAGGATTACCACTCATTCGAGGCCAGCTTGGGCTACATAGTAAATTCAAGACCAGCCTAGATGACAAAGCAAGACCCTGTCTCAGAACAAACAAACAAAAATATAAAAAAGGTGGAGGGGAGTGGGAAACTTGTGGAGTTCTAAACGGTTTGAGGTGGGGCTTATCACATAGCCGCATTCTCTTGGAATAGCTAAAAGCTGAAACCTGTCGGAAAAAAGGACCTAGTTTTATTTTTTGTTAAATCTTCTAATGGTTATTTTTCAATTATTGAATGTAATGTGCTTGAATTTGATAAGCCGAATAAGTAAGCTGATTAAAGTTTAATGCAGCATCCACTCTGCAGAGGAAGCGCCCTCCGCACAGTGCGCTCCGGTAAGATTGATTGCCGCTGCCTCTTAGACCTTAAAAGCCTCTGAGCTATTTCTGGAGACCACTGAAGGACAGGGGAGCTGGGAGTCGGAGCTGGGAGTCCAGAGATCTCCCAGTGTAATATGAGACTGTTGTTGCATCCGGGGTTAAGGGACCCTTTGTTTTCTGAAAGACACAGTTATCCTGTTTGAATAAACCTGAGAGCTTAATGCCTCAATGGTTTAAGGGATTGCGGAAGATAAGCCATAAAGGGCTGGCTGTGACTCGGTGCTGCTTTCCTGTTGGGGCCTGGGAGAGAGCACAGAGCTGTAGCCCTTTGGGTCTGAGAGTCAGAGTTGTTCTCCTGACCAGTGTTCAGGAAGGAAACTGGCATAAAGCACACCGAATAGTGTCTGACCCGCATGAGCATTTAAGCTAACCCGCCCTCCTTCCTTTGCAGTGAAGACAGACGGGGCCCCGCGAGAGATTTCCACATCTTGTTCGTGCCACGCCGTAGCTTGCTGTGTGAACAGCGGCTGAAGGACCTGGGTGTTTTGGGATCCTTTATCCACAGGGAAGAGTACAGTTTAGATCTCATTCCATTCGATGGGGATCTCTTATCCATGGAGTCAGAGGGTGCGTTCAAAGTAAGTTCCGCCTTTCCCTGACATCAGACTTTGATTTTTGCCGAATGTGTGAATAGGGAAGTTCTGAGTATTATTTTCATGGTCCTGTGAAGCTGAGGCGCTCATTCCCTATGTTTGTTCATGTTCAAGATGTTCTCTTCAAGATGAGTGTGGTGGCGTATGCCTGCAATCTTAGCACTCTGGGAGGCTGAGGCAGGAAGATCCAAGTTGGAGCCGAGCCTGAGCAGCTTAGTAAGACTCTGTCTCAAAAGTAAAAAATAAAATAAAGGACTGAGGTGTAGCTCAGTGCAAAGGCCCTGGGTTTAATCCCCACTGCTACCAAAAAAAAAAAAAAAAAAAAAAGTAGAAGAAAAAAAAGTATGAAAAAATATTTCTTTTTTTTTTTTTGTATCAGGAATTGAACTCAGAATCTTGTGCTTGCCAAGCAGGTGCTATGCCACTGAGCTATATCCCTGGCCCAAGAAATGTTTTTTGTGGTGGTGTACACCTGTAATCCCAGCACTCGGGAGGCTGAGGCAGGAGCATTGCTGTGAGTTCGAGGGCAGCCTGGGCTACAAAGTGAGCTCAAGGCTAACCTGAACTGAAGTGGAAAAAATGTTCACACTTAAAGGAAGTCGTTTGCCGGCAGCTGATGTCAAGAATATTATTTTTTTTGTCTGACCCAGGCTAGAACTGATGGATATAATTGCTGAAAATGTGCTCAGGTATCTCAGCGCTTCTGTTGGGTAAAAGAGGCTGGTCCTTACAATGGATATGAACTACGGAAGGCACAGGAAACGGCCACGTAACGTGAAACCCTGCCTCAAAAAAAAAAGAAATGTTTTCCAGTATTTTTCTTCCTTTAATTTTCATTTTAGCTGTCTCATCAGTTTTAAGTAATTTTGCCAGAAAAGGTGTCTCAGGCATCCTCTGCTACGGTGTGCCGTGTGAAGGGTGCCTTACACCGGCAGTGCCTCAGCGACACTCACTGTGAGGACTTGGTAGAGACATCTTTCTCCTCCTCCCTGCTCAAGAGCTCTGCTTGCCCTTGCTCAGTCCCTGGGCCCAGCTGCCTTCCTGCTCCTGGCCCTGCCTCTGGGGACACTATGGTAGGGCTTCTTGAACCCAGGCCGACCTTGATCTCACTATATAGACCAGGTTGGCTTCGAACTCAATGCGATCCTCCTGCCTCAGCCTCCTGATGAGTGCTGGGATTACAGGCGTGCGTCACCACGCTTGGTTGTATCTTTTTTTATCTGTGGTGCTCAGGATTGAGTCTAAGGCCTGGCACATGCTAGGCGAGCACTCTACTATTGAGCCACACCTACAGCCCACTTTACATCTTAGTTTTCTTTCTTTGGCAATACTGGAGACGGACGCCAAGATGCTTTACCACTGAGCTACGTCCCCAGCCCGTTTTATTTTTTACTTTGAAGCAAGGTCTTGCTAAGTTGTCCAGGCTAGCTAGAACTTCTTATCCTCCTGCCTCAGCCTCCTGAGTGAATGGGAAAGCCCCTCCCTGATACAGTCTTTACACCTGAGGCTTTCAAGCGAGCTGATGAATGAAGCCAGTTGCACACGTCTCCGCACCTGTGCTGGGGAGCCCTGGAGTCTGAGTGTCCCCGCAGCAGGAGATAGTTTTGTTGTCTGTAAACTCAGGCAGGCACCCGGCAGCTGCCGGGAGGAGCCCCGGGTCCCTGCTGACCGGCCTTTCTCCCCGCAGGAGTGCTACCTGGACGGTGACCAGACGAGCCTGTACCACGCGGCCAAGGGGCTGATGACGCTGCAGGCTCTGTACGGAACGATCCCCCAGATCTTTGGGAAAGGGGAGTGCGCCCGGGTGAGAGCCAGCACCGTCCAGGGTGGGGAGGGAGGCCCTGTAGCCAGCCGCGGGCCCAGGAGAAGTGCACGGAGACAGCCGAGCTTCGTGACACAGGAAGCCTGTGGGAATGTGCGTCTTCCCTCCTGTGTGAGCGCAGCCCCCATCGGCGCCCCAGGGAGAGCAGGCTCCCAGTTGAGGGCCGCCCAGCAAGGTGACACTGCCACCACAAAGTGTCCCTTTGGCTTTCTGCTTGGCGTCCCTGTCTCACACTTCTGTACCGCGTTGGTGCCTCGTACAGGGTGAGGCGCTGTCTGGCGTCTAACGGAGAAGGTGCCGTGTTCCTTAAGCTTCGTTCGGGCCAGCTAGAGAGCCGCTGTTGGCTGAGTTCAGGGTGACTGACTCAGCGGTAGCCGCTAAGGCGGGCGTCTCTACAGGGTAAAGCAAAGCTGCGTATCAGCTCGGTGCTGAAGGCCGTGATGGGGCGCTCGGGTTCCTCAGCGTAGGTCTCCCGTGAGCAGTGGTTCAGTGTTGGCCAATACAGTGACTTTGTAGAGCATAGCTTCCCTAAGCGACGACACAGACTGATACTGTGCTGCCAGGGGTTGGGATGCGTGGCCAGCAGCAAAGGCTGTCTGTCCGTCTGTCCGTCTGTCTGTCTGTTTGCATTACTGGGAATCAAGCCCAGAGGTAGGTAAGCACGTTCCCGCTGAGCTAGATCTCCAGCCCAGCAAATGCTCTTTGATTGCTGTTTATTTATTATCAACCTCATGCTTGCAGTTTTTCTCTTTCTGTCTCTCTCTTTTAATTCTTTTGATTGTCCTTCTGTTTTTAGCTGAGTTTTAAAAATCTAGTTCCCAGGAGGGCCCTCCTCATCCAGTATTTTGTTTCCAGCAAGTGGCCAACATGATGATCAGGATGAAGAGAGAGTTCACGGGAAGCCAGAACTCCGTGTTCCCTGTTTTTGACAACCTCTTGCTGCTCGATCGGAATGTGGATTTACTGACACCTCTGGCTACTCAGCTCACGTACGAAGGGCTCATCGATGAAATTTACGGCATTCAGAACAGTAAGTAAAGTGACACCTATTTTTATTTGTGGATCCTTTGACAAAAATATCCTTTATGTGGAGGATACCATTTTTATGTTGCATACTTAAGATTTATTTGAACTTAAGGACGCTTGTAAGGATGATTTTAAAATGTAGATTAATATAAACACTTTGGGAGCAGTTTGGCGGGATATAAAATTTTAACTTTTGGTTGCAAATCCAGTCTGAGGGTGTTCCTTGAGGAATTGTTCAAAAAATAGAGGTCAGGGAGGTTTGTATAGAATCTGTCATTTATTTTCCAGAATTTTCTAAAGAATCCAAATTTTTGTGAACATTATAAAATATAATGGAACGATTAAACTGATAAATGTGGAAAATGAACAAAAATGTATAGCCAAACTTACTTCAGTTGTACATTTTGTATGTGTGTATGTCCATAATACATAAAATTACCAAGTAAGAACATCTAGAAAAAGGGAGGTAACTGGATGAGGAATGATCATGTTTCCAAAGGGTCATTTTATTTTTTAAAATATATTTTAAAAATTTATTTATCGGGGATTTAGCTCAGCGGCAAAGCGCCTGCCTGGCAAGCGCAAGGTTGTGAGTTCAATTCCCGGTACCGGAGGAAAACCAAAAAAAAAAAAAAAATTTATTTATCTAGCAACAGTGAGCATCTCAAACTGAGGGCAACTCTTATCAGTGAGCTGCATCCCAGCCTTTGTAAAAATTTTCTTTTGAGACTGGATCTCGCGGTTTTGTTTGCTTTGTTTTATTGTTTTGCTTCGGTGCTCCTTCCCACCCAGCAGCGGGCTTTCATGATGCGTTATCGGAGCAGGGGCGAAGTCTGAAAACCCCTGGAGGACGGGGCGGGAGAGCTCTGTAGGTCTAAGTGAGAAGTGACCAATCCCGAAGTGTGGGAATAGGTCCCTGTTGCTCCAAAGACAATTAGAACCGTGGTTTCTGTCGGACAAGGTCGTGGCTTCTTGTACTTGGATAATGAGAAATAAAAACTCAGAGCTGTGTGCCGTTTCTCCTCACGCTGTCCTCCAGTCTCTGTGGAGATGGAAGTGGAGTTTTGCGCCCAGGCACTTGATGACTGGTTCTTCCGTCATTGCGTGCTGGTGCGCGGCCTCTTGCCCTATGCAGGTTACGTGAAGTTGCCCCCGGAGAAATTTGTGCCTAAGAAGCAGGGTGACAGCGGGAAGGAACTCCCCACAGAGGCCAAGAAGCTGCAGCTCAACTCGGCGGAGGAGCTCTACGCGGAGATCCGAGACAAGAACTTCAATGCAGTGGGCTCGGTGCTGAGCAAGAAGGCCAAGATCATCTCTGCGGCCTTCGAGGTGAGACGTGTGTTGGTTGTCGCCCCTGCTGGCTTCATAGTGTCCACCCTGAGAGAACAGGACGGGCCCAGGTAGGGCTTCAGTGTCGCCACGACCTCCCCACCCTCAGCAGCTGCAGATTCAGGAGGATCCAAGGTTTTCTTTTAAAACTTTTTCCCGGGGCTGGGCATCCCAGCACTGGGGAGGCTGAGGCAGGAGGAGCACCGTGAGTTTGAGGTCAGCCTGGGCTACATAGTGAGTTCGAGGCCCGTCTGAACTACACAGTGGAGAGGGTTATATTAAATTTTCTCCTTTTTTAGAGGCTGTGGGAGCACCAAGGTGTTTGTGATTAAAAAGCTTTTATCATAAACGCTGTCATTATCCTCTTCCTTTAAGTTGTCTCTCGCCTCACTTACGAGGAAGCCAGCTGTGCTAAGAATAAAAGCTCCCTGTAATAGAACTCCAGTTCGCGGTGCGTTTCCAGGTCCATCCCATGCGGACGGGGGGGCCCTGCATACGTGGCAGGTGATAATGAGATCCAGGGCCCGGCAGCCCAGAGCTTCGCCATCAGAGGCGTCATTAGCACCTCCCTGCCTCCTCTTGCCTCCTCGCTGGTTTATTCATGTTAAGCTCCTCTTTGAAACATGGGAGTTCGGTAAGCTGATAAACTGAATATTAAGGCTTTGGAGGTGTAAATCAGAAGTTTTTGAAAACTGAAGTGACTTTTCAGATTTCTGATGATGCTGTTGACTGCCTTGCCCCTAAATATGTCCTCATTGCCGAGCAAGGCTCTCTTTGTTCGTGGGCTGCACTCAGGGTGACGGTTCCGCAGCAGGACTGGATCTGCTCCTACCATATAAGAGACTTTCTACTAGTTACGGTCCCTTCTTCATCTTAGATTTTGGTTTTTGAGACAGGGCCTCACTATGTAGTTCAGGCCGGCCTTGAGCTCACTATGTAGCCGAGGGTGGCCTCACTCATGGCGATCCTCCTGCCCCAGCATGCTGAGTACTAGAATTTCAGGTGTGATACATGCCTAGCCATCTTAGTTTTATACTCAGAAATGTGTATGATTTACCTAACTCCATCCCCCACCAGTGGTCAGAGGCACACAAACTCCTGGGCACCCTCGTGCTGGGTGCGAGGTGCTGTATAGGAAAGAGAATCGTAGGCATTGCTCTCCAGGGAAGCACAAATGTGGGAAACAGGCGCCATGAGCCCTTGAGGGGATGTGTTTATTTTCCGTTGTTCGAAATAATGTTGGAGCTAGGGTTTGGCCAGATTTTCACGTTTGCATTCCTTCCTTCACATTATTACAAACGAAACATCCCCTGAAATACGTGCCCTGCCTGATGAGCTGCCGTCTGCCCTGCAGGAGCGGCACAATGCCAAGACAGTGGGGGAGATCAAGCAGTTCGTGTCCCAGCTGCCCCACATGCAGGCCGCCCGGGGCTCGCTCGCCAACCACACCTCCATCGCAGAGCTGATCAAAGACGTGACCAGTGAGTGCCCTTGGGTACAGTTCTTTCTGTCGGGGGCAGACTTAACACACGGTGTCCAACACGCCGGTCGTCGGCACCCTGATGCTTCCCTGGGAAAATCCGCTCTGGGTCTTTTCCAGGGTGCAGCGCAGGGGCTGGAACCCAAGGCCTTGAGCACACGCAGCGGGTACTTTACCGTTCAGCTCTACTTTAACCTTGTGTGTGCCTCTCGGTATCCAGTGTGTGCATGCTAAGAACGGTCCATTGTGGTTGACTCATTTCATAATTAGTGAGTGATGAAATATTTGAAATAAAGACAAGAAATTTATCCCTAAGTTTGTCCTCATAATAACATAAGGCTGTTAATGTTTTTAGTCTTGAGTATTTTGGAAAAGCTCAGATTTATGTCAAACACAGGTTTGTCCATCAGAATACACGGCTGTAAAAGCTGAGTAGGAGATTGTTCAGTGCCCACTTTTATGTAGTATACTTTGAATCTTAAATAAATCATAAGGTAAGAGCACCTGGTGTGTATGCCTGCAATCCCAGCACTCAGAGGCTGAGGCAGGAGGATTGTTGTGAGTTCGAGGTACAGGAAGGCCAGCCTGAAATGCATAGTGAGAAAGTTTGAGGCCAGCCTAAAAGCATAGTGAGACTCTGTTTCAAAAACAAAAACAAAAAACTCTTGGAAATTCGTTTTCATTATAGTGAGACTCATTGCGCAAAATTCCAACATCTGTATTTGAATTCTAGGGACAGCAAATGAGTATGATAGTCAGCTGTGTCTGAATTTAATTTCATTCAGAGTTCTAGGTTTTCTTTTTTTTTTTTTTGGTTTTTCTTCGGTACCGGGAACCGAACTCACAACCTTGCACTTGCCAGGCAGGCGCTTTGCCGCTGAGCTAAATCCCCAGCCCCGAGTTCTAGGTTTTCCATGTTTCTTAGACAGGTCTGTTTGGGTAATGATCTGATCTCAGGCTTGCTTTCTTTTTTGCATATTTTGTCTCAATCATGCTTCATGTGTAAAAGCACACACTTCAAATAAGTTAACATTTATTGAGTTTCTAAATTGCAAATTTATTAATTATATTTTAGCTTCTGAAGACTTCTTTGATAAATTAACAGTGGAGCAGGAGTTTATGTCTGGAATAGACACCGATAAGGTATGTAGACTGTCAACCACCCCAACAAGTAGCTGGAAGTTTATCAGACATATGGTTATAGCCAAGTAACAGTGGCTAATTTTATGAGCAAATGCAAAATGTGAAAATACGAATTTTATCAAAGAAAAGAACTTAACATTACTTTATATATGACCCTTCTATAGTACATGGTGAGATGAGAACTGTTTCCTGAAATCCAAGATTTTTAAGCACTATAATAGATAAGTTAAGGTCTTCACTTTTGGAGCTGAGAATTAGCTGAGTGGTAGAGCACCTCCCTAGCATCTGTGAGGCCCTACATTCAATCCCAGTGATGCCACAAAGCAAAACTAAGATACTCGCTCTTGAGATAGTTGTTTATAATATTTCTTTAAATATTTAGCTCTTAATTTTTTTAATTAAATGTATGAAAATCCCCATCTTATAAAAATATTCCTAGCCGGACGTGGTGGCACACACCTGTAATCCCAGCACTCGGGAGGCTGAGGCAGGAGGATCCTTGCGAGTTCAAGGCCAGCCTGGGCTTCAAAGTGAGCTCAAGGCCAGCCTGAACTTCATAGCGAGACCCTGTCTCAAAAAAAATTCCTGTTGCTCTGCTCTAGACAAAATTGCTGCTCCGTGGAGGTAGATGAGGTCACAGAAGCACCGGGCATTTGGCAGCCTCTCACGTGGCCTCCATAGAGCTAGATGCCTCGGAGCAGGCGTTACGATTGGCTGATGGTGTCCTCGCTGCTCTGCGCCCCGTGGTCTGATAGCTGGTGTATCTGTGGGGTGGTGGGGTCGTGTATGCTGGGGTGATGTGCTACGTCCCACACAGCTAGGAACTGAGGGAGGAAGTAGGCCATTGTCCTGCACATTTCCTTTCTTGGACTTAGAAAAATTCTTGTCCATATCAAATTCTTGAAGTCCTGGAAGAAGATCACCCGTGTACGTGCTTCGTTTCTAGGTCAACAATTACATCGAGGACTGTATTGCCCAAAAGCACCCGCTGATCAAAGTGTTGAGGCTGGTTTGCCTCCAGTCCGTGTGCAATAGTGGACTCAAGCAAAAAGTTCTGGATTATTACAAAAGGGAAGTTCTCCAGGTAGCGTATTTTAAATTTTTATGGTTTCCCAAAGACAGAAAACATCTTTTTAAAAAAGTATTTCACAAAGCTCCTGTTCTGATACATGATTACCACTGGCCTTTTAATTTTTCAGTACCTAGAGGGATCGCTGTATTGTTGTTTATTTTATACCTGTACAGTAACAGTGGTAAAGGGTTACTGAGCATTTGCTGCGTACCAGGGTCTATTAGAAGAGCTTTGTTTGTTTGCAGTTAACACTCACAACCCTGTTTCTTAGCTGTTGTTATCTTCATTTTAGATGAAAATCTGAGCCATAGACTAATGATGAACCTCCCCCACTGGCTGGTAGCTGGCAGAGCCAGCACCAAGACCCAGGTCACTAGGACCTGGTACTCATTTTCTTAATGAATTTGTTAGGTTATGAAGAAAGAGAACTTTTTGCAAATTGCTGATAGCAGTTGCTTAATAGACTTAAGTCTGTTACTTTACTGTCAGGAAAATCCCACTGCTGTTTAAAAAATTCTCCCTGTTTGAAAATGTCTCAGGCAGTATTTATTTGCTATTATCAGTCACTGGTAGAGAATATATTACTGTTAAAATTAAGTGCTCATGAATTTATTTTGCTTTTGCTGTTTTCTTTGTCTTTTGTACCAGGAATTGTACCGAGGGCCTTTGCACTAAGCTTTTGTGGTTTTTTGTTTGTTTGTTGTTCTTTTTTCTTCTTTTCATAATGTCTTGCTAAGTTGCTAACTTGCCCAGGCTGGGTTTGTGCCCCTGCCTTTTTTTAAGCCTGGGAAAGGTTTATGGAGAGAGAGAGCTCCTGAGAGACAGCAGCGGTCCTGGAAGTGGGTTGCCCGTCTTTCTTAAGTTACACGCAGACCTCACATCCTCATAATAGGCCAACAGTGCAGAAGCATGGGGATGAAATACACGCATCTCCATCCCTGAGTGCACTTCTGTTTTGCTCCCCAGATGTGGCTTATGTCAAAAATTTGGTTTGTCTTCTTCCAGCCGCGCACCTTGGAGTGCGTACCCATGATGCTTATGTGCTTCAGGGTGAGACTGGCTCAGGGCCCCGCTCTGCTGTCACTGGTGACCTTGGGCAGGTTATTAAATGTCTCTGTCAAGTGGAGATGGTAGCAGCACCTACCTCATGGGGTCATAAGGGCAACTGAATTAATAAATAGGAAGTTTGTAGACCAGAGCTATACTCAGCTTATACAAAGAACTATATAAGCCAGGCATGGTGGCACACTCCTGTTATCTCAGAACTCAGAGGGCTGAGGCAGGAGGATTGCAGTCAGTTCAAGGCCAGCCTGCACTACACAGTGAAAACTGACTCAACACACACACACAAAATGCCATTATGCATAATGTTTTATTATCATCTTTTTGTCCTTCACAGCATATCCAGAAGTTCTTCCTTATCAGGATGTATAGCTCTGCCTCATTCCTTTTTAGTAATAATTACATCCACATATATTATACTTTATTTGATGCTCAGGTTGTCCCCAGTAATTGTGACTGTAAATATTTTAAACCCCACTGTGATGATGAGTTGGATTAACGGTAATGGGCGAAGAGTGTTAGCAAGTCTCGTCCCTTGCTCTGTCCCCTGTGCTTGACAGTCATCGCTGGCCCTCAGTAACGTGCTCCACGGTGGGAATCAGGTTGATGTGTTGGAAGTGTTCTTTGACCTGACATCAAAGCCAAGTGACTTCTCTTGCAGACCTACGGCTACGAGCACATCCTGACCTTGCACAACCTGGAGAAGGCTGGCCTGCTAAAGCCACAGACGGGGGGCAGGAACAGTTACCCGACAATTCGGAAAACGCTGCGCCTCTGGATGGATGACGTGAATGAGCAGGTAGGACCCGTCTCGCCACTTGAATGCACTGTGGTTGCGTAGTGCATGGAGGTGCCATGTGCCACTTAATCAACGTAGCTGTCTCTCCGAAAGTAATTCTCTCAGCTTCTTGAAAACGTAATGCATCCGTGTGTTGTGGCCGTCAGAATCTCAGTAGGAAACGTGGGTCTTTGCGGGGAGATTAATAGAGGTGTGGCCGGGAGGCGATGCTCTGTGCTGGGGTGGTGGGGAGCTCTTCCTGCGGAGGCCTGCAGCCCCGCGGGAAGGAGGGGCTCCCGCAGGGGCGCGTGGAGGTTGTCACCCCTAAACAGGTTAGCCGTACCAAAGGAAGGCGAGCGGGGCGGGGACGCTTCCTTCCACATGGAGCTGGTTCCTGCCGACGCCGGCACGGAGCCAGTGATTATCTCTCCTTGCAGATCCTATACTGGGTCTGCAAAGCAGGAGGCACTTTCCTTAGCATTCACTGTCTATTGTAGTGTTTCGGAGTCTCATTTTCTCACTGTCATTGTGGTTTTTCATAAAAGTTTTCACTGGGCTATCTTTTGCAACAAGAGCTTATTATATCTTCTTCTATTTTCAGTAGCAAAATTGGATTATTTTTCCCAGTAGGAAAATAGATTCCCTTAATTGTGCGTGTTATCCTGTGTGTATTGGTTGAGCTCTCCTTGCTGTTCCGACCTCTCTCCCCCTAAATCCACCTACACCACTGAACGGGTGATCTGGAAGATCCTTCATTGATCTACCTCCTTTCTTCTCATTCTTTTCTGAGGGAGTTTCTGAAGGAGTTTTTGTTTCTTTCTGTGCTGGGAATTGAGCTCAGGGCCTTGCACATGCTAAGTCCTCAGGCATTCTCCCCGAGCTACACCCCCAGTGTGTAGGCAGGGGTCTTAAGGTCACACCTTGTTTTGTGATTTAAAGTAAAAATTCAGGTTGTTTCCATCCTTTTGCAGTTACAGCTGTTGTAGTTCATGTGTTTATCCTTTGGCTCGTTCTCCTGGGGTGTACAAGCCTCTCTGCGGTACAGACACATAATAGTACAGTTGCAGGGGTCAGAGGGCACACGCATTGTTACTGGGCTGGACCTCCAAGGTGCCTTCTTAGAAACTTCTTCAAACCCAGGAGTTTCTCATCTTCAGTACCCAGAGCTGCTTTGAGCAGCTTTTCAAGATTGGATTCAGGGGCTGGGGATTTAGCTCAGCGGCAGAGCGCCTGCCCGGCAAGCGCAAGGTCATGAGTTCAATCCCCAGTACCGGAAGAAAACCAAAAAAAAAAAAAGATTGGATTGAGTGGTGCAGCCCTGGCTCTGAGGACAGAGCAGGTCTGGGCTGGGTTGGAACGGGACTTGGGCGGGTGTCTGTCTCTGCCTTCGCTCGCATACTTGGGCCACGCAGACGACCATAGGTGCCCTGAACCTCTGTTGTCTACAGGTTCTTTTTCCCTTTAATTACTGCACAGAACCCCACGGACATCTCCTATGTGTACAGTGGCTACGCCCCGCTCAGCGTGCGGCTGGCCCAGCTGCTGTCACGGCCCGGCTGGCGGAGCATCGAGGAAGTCCTTCGCATCCTCCCCGGGCCCCACTTTGAGGAACGCCAGCCGCTGCCCACAGGGCTGCAGAAGAAACGTGAGTTCTAGGCTGAGGCAGGCGGATTGTTGCGAGTTTGAGACCAGCCTGGGCCACAAAGTGAGTTCAAGGCCAACCTGAACTGCATAGCGAGACCCTGTCTCAAAAAGACAAAAAAAAAAGAGAAACATGAGTTCTGTGTGCGGCATCTGTGTGCGTCAGTGTGGTTGTCACATGTTGTGGAGCCGCTCTGTGAAGATTTATAGAGTAGCTAGGAGTCACGGTCATAGTTGCTAATGTACATCCGAAGCAACAAGAGCTGCGTTCTGCCCTCGGGAGTAGCATCTTTCAGTCTCCACCTCAAGGCTCTCCAGAGTTAGAAAAAGCTTTGAGATCAAAATCAGTGTTCTTGAGTTTCAGAGGGTCTGTCTGTACCAAGACGCACTTGATCTTTTTATTTCTAGCAATGAAAAAATATTTTGAAGCAGAAAGACAAGCACCAGTAATGCTTCTAAATTCTGAAATGTTTATATTTTAGGGCAACCAGGAGAAAACCGAGTCACTCTGGTATTTTTCCTCGGGGGTGTAACGTTTGCTGAAATTGCTGCCCTGCGCTTTCTGTCCCAGCTGGAAGACGGAGGTACAGAGTATGTCATTGCCACCACTAAACTGATGAATGGAAACAGCTGGATGGAGGCACTAATGGAAAAACCTTTCTAGAGTGTTCCAAGATGTGGCAAGTGCATCGCACAGTGAACTGCTTCTTTGAAGAAGTTGCTGCAAGGAAGGGAAACCCCACAGAGGAACCAGGAATACGGAAGTCATCACCGTGGGATCTGCTTCTCATACTGCTGCCTTCTCCGTCCTGCTTCGCTTTGTGTTCTTAATGACTTGAAGAAAGAAGAGGAGGATCTGCCTGGGTCAAGAGACACTGGTTTTGAATTTTCTAAGCTCAGGATCATGAGGCCTCTAGGAATACCGCAGAGATCCTGGGGATGGAGACTCCTTACAGCCTCACAAAGGGAGGCAGTTGTTAAACGAGGAAAGCAGAGGCTGCGGAAGTCAAAACAAAAATAAAAGTGGAAAGTCAAACCCCTGGTCCAAGGGCTGTGTTTCTGAAGACGCACGTGCCTGGGATGTGGTGCAGGGTTGTGTGCTGAGGGCTGGGGCCGAAGTGGCTGAGCAGTTGCTGTACCCTGACAAGGAAGGCGCGTCGTGCTCGTGTCTCTACCTTCGCTCTTACCTGACCCCTAAGGCGAGTTTTGTTTACTTCTTAAGGAGGAAGAGGTTTGAGGCAGATTCTTGCTCAGAAGCAGTTTCTGCTGTCTCTGATCAGCTGCATCTGTGGAGGCGCCTTGCCTGTCAAGGCTTTCTACGCCGGTGACGGTGACGGAAACAGTTGGGGAAAGGCTATACTTCCAGGGATCATCTCTGTAGTGTGTTACTAGGGAAGTTTCTCTGATCGTGTAGAGTACCAGAAACCATGAGGAGGAGGTGTAGTGTTCCTTCCTGAGCATGAAGTTGGCTCTTGGTGTTGCTTTGGAAATAGTTGGGGAGTAGCTTCCAGAGAACTCAGCCACTCCAAGACGCTTTCTTAGTGCGTGTGTTGGCAACTCCAAGAATTTCAGTGATAGCTGCCTCCAAAGAGATGTCGCTTTTATTCCCTGTCCGTCCGGGGCTCACCTTCTGGCTGGTTCCACTGTGAGCAGTGGAACTCTTACCTCTTCAGCATCTTGCCGCTCTGTCTCCTTGGTAACCAGCGCATGCACTCTTCTGGTAGTCTGTGGCCACACAGACTCAGTCTCATGCGTCCATTGTGCTTGTGAATACCTAGCTCTGTTTCAGCCCCTGGCCTGGTGGCCTCGGTCACTCCGGAGGGGTCTCACTGACAGAGTCCAGCTGCCACTCTGCTGGGACCTTTAGCTGTGAAGGAGGGCAGGGCTGCAGGAGGTACCCACGCAGTCCCCAACTCCCTCCTCAGCCCGGCACCTGGAGGAGTTCGGAGTGCCAGCAAGGGGCCCTGGTGCTGGCTGTACTGCCGCTGCCCAGGCATGCAGCAAAGTTAGCTGGTGCCTAGTGTCACTGTTTTTTGTTTTTTTATTTGTTTTTTGAGACAGCGTCTCACTGTGCAGTTCAGGCTGGCCTTGAGCTCACTCTGAGTGCTGAGCCCCCCCATCCCCCGTGCTTGTCACTAGTGGAATTCTGGTAGTTACGTTGCGTGTTACGAGTGGGAGAAATTCTGGATTTAAAAAAAAAGTGGTGGTGCACACCTGCAATCCCAGCACTCAGGAGGGTGAGGCCAGCCTGGGTTACAAAGTGAGACACTGTCTCAAAAAACAAACAACCCCCCCCCAAAAAAAAACCTATTTAGTATAAGAATAAAGGGGTAGCAGAGAGAATGTTTAAAAGATATAGTTTCTCATGGAATTAATTGGAGCTTGACATTCAGTATTTGGAAATGGAAAACTGTTCCTGAATGGAAAGCCATTCCTATTCTAGAGAGTCCTTTTTCAGATACTTGTTATCCCAGGGAGATTAGTTTATCCCTTGGGGCCCGGGCAGCTGTTAGCTTCGACTGCTTTAGAGAACGCATCTACCCTGCCCCTCAGTGTTTTTGGCCATGGGACTCAGTTCAAGTCTGGTCACGTCTCCATGGCGGGGGTTTTCTCAGTGGTAGCTTCATGTGTCTGCATTCCCTCGTGACTCTACTTGTTCAGACATAGCTAGGTCAGCTCCTAAAAATGCATTTAGCAGAAGACTTAAAAAAAACATCAATTGCTTCATTTGTATACAAATAGAAGCTGGTGGATACTTCTATGCTATACGCCTTTGTGCACGTCCATTTAATACTTGAAGCTGTCTTTGTCTAGAGGAATGTTCCCGTACTAAGAAAGGGTATGTGAATGGTACGTTTATTCCTGGAGCGGGTGGATTGTTTACATCATGTCTGGACTTTTGTCTCGTTGGGTAGACAGTTCTGCTACACAAGCAGTCCCTTAGAAGTCTACATAGACACTGCTTTGTGTCTCACATGGTTTTGAACTTCAGCCAACAGAGAACTATCTTAACTGTACTTTAATTGTGGAGCAAGAGAGTAATGGGTAAGGGAGCAAAGATCAAAAACAGGACGTTTAACCCTTGGAGAGAGCTGGGAAGGTCTCGGTGTGGGTTCTGTGCCCTTTGAGGCCTGGTCTCACCGGAAGTGGATGTGATTAATCAGGCTGTGCTGCTGCCTGCGCTGCGCTCGGGTACATTCAAGACCAGCTGGGGCTGGGGGTGTGGCTCATTGGTAGAGTGTGTGCTTAGCCTGTGTCCCTCTCCCAAGACTGGCCCATCACAGGAGGCAATTCTGTATTTAATAAAGTTGAATTCAAGCAAAGATACTTCTAAAAAGTACTGAATCAAGTGTCTGAAACAGGAAGAGGGGGCTTTGACAAAGCTACCAAGGCACAGGGATGCGGACATCACGTAGACCTACTTGTCTCCTGAAGATTGTGAATTGCACTCAAGTTTTCGGTTGATTGGTTTAACCGTGACATACTATAGAAAACAGAGGATCCCTTTTTGTCAATTGAAAAAGCAATGATATAAAACTTCTCAGATTCTTATTTCTAAACAGAATCATGTGAATCCTACACTGTGTCATGTTTCTTTGCTTCATTCACCTCATTGTGCTAAGATGTCCCCAGCTGGGACTGAGGAGAGGCCGCAGAGGGACCAATCCATTTGGGGCACACGTTTGAAGGATGTGAGACCTCGAAGAGAGCAGAATTGGGCCTACTTTAGACAGCCTGGCTTTTGCATCTGTCCCCTTGGTGAGGAGTGAGGTACGAACGCCCGCCATCCTTTCTTTCCGGTAACTAGGCAGGACATGGGAGCCCTTCAGATGACCAGTTCTCTGGGGGAGCAATTACTACTCCCTGGCTTCCTGAGCAGCTTGATAATGTTCTGCTCCTGTTTTCAGCCGGGCTGCAGCCGAGGCAATGATTTGATAATAAGAGATCCTGATTAAATTAAGGAGCCATTTGCTCCTGGATGATGATGTTTATGAAAGGGTTGATGTCTACACTCCTGGGTTTTTTGCCCCCCAAAGGTCAAAAAATAGTCTTCTAATATTTGGTTCAAGTGAAATATTCAGAAGCAGCAGAAGCAGCATAAAATTTGTGCTCTTCCCCTTCCTCGTTACGCCTGGGAAAGGCTGTTGCTCTCCCGGCGGGGCCCTTGAGCTGCACACTGGGTGGAACTGAAGTTGGGTGCACCGCGAAGCTCCTGTGCAACGAGTCTGGAAAGGGAGGCAGAAACTCGGAATCGGAGTCAAGCCGTGTGGAGCTCTTGGTCCCAGAAGCGTGGTTCTGTGGACGCACGTGTGCGTGCCCACACATGCCTGTGCTTTAGTCAGGACTGGCTGTGCAGTTTCTTCCGGTCCCAGTGGAGTAGATGGGGCCGCTCCGTTTGTTGGCCTTGTTGGCACATAGCCCACCTAGAGTGTGTAGACAAGCAGGATGAGAAGGGGCTTGAGAGGCTCCAAGTGTGTCTGTTTGCCCCATTTGCGTCACCTTTGCAGAGGTGACAGCAGAGGGCAGATGGGTTTGCAGTGCCAGCCTGGCTCGGGACCGCCCGCTGCCCTCCACAGCTCCTGAGCGCCCAGGGACCTCGCGGAGCTTGTAATTGGCCGCTAGACCACACCTATTATTGAGTGCGGCTGCTGCCTAAAGACCTCAGAGCTTCCCGGATCGCTGGCGTGCGCAGCCAGCCCTTCTGCGTAGACCAAGGAGCTGCAGGCTGCTTCGGGCCGACTCAGGCAACTTCACCAAGTGAGTGAAAGGAGACAGAAGCCGGTGGCTGACACTGAGGGGAGCTGCGGCCAGGGCCACAGGGGCTCCCACCATCAGGTGCCATCTGAGGGGGAGTCGGCAGGGCGGGGACAGTGCACAGGGGTATGTGGAGGGGACAGGACTCGGAGAGCTTGGTGCCTGCTGCTTACTCGCAGCCTGGGACACAGGAAGCAGAGGGCTGCAGGAAGGACCTAGGGGCTGCAGGGGGGACCTGAGGGCTGCAGCGGGGACCTGGGGG